GTAGCAGTAGCAGTAGTAGTAGGAGGAGGAGGAGGAGGAGGACGAGTAGGAGTAGGAGTAGCAGCAGCAGCAGCAGCAGCATCAACAGCAGCAGGAGTAGTAGAAGTAGTAGTAGTAGTAGTAGTAGTAGTAGTAGGCGCAGCAGGAGTAGTACTAGTAGTAGCAGTAGCAGTAGCAGTAGCAGTAGTAGTAGTAGTCGTCGTCGTGGTGGTGGTGGTAGTAGTAGCTGTTGTTGTACTGGCTGTTGTTGCAGTGGTTAATGTACCAGTACTAGTACTAGTGCTAGCACTACGCCAGCACTGCCAGCACTAGCACGAGCATTAGTGGTACTGCAGAGACCTTCGTAGAAAGCTGTGAGACTGCTTGGACTGCAGGAAGACCGGAGAGTGGTACGCTAATCAAACTCACATGCATACGCGCAAACACACACACACACACACACATACACACACACACACACACACCCGCGTGCGCGCGCAATCCTCAAGAAAGCAGGTGCTTGGCTGCGTGGCAGGGTTTAGCCCGGACTGTTCAACAGGCATCCGCCCGCCGGCCGTCCTCGTATACGTGCGCGACGTCCGCGGGGTACTGCGGGTGCCTCTCCTGCAAAGCTGCAACGATAGAGTTTTGAGCTCCCAAAGAGGGCCCAAGGCTTGACTGGAGTTCAGCACTTCGGCTTCGCCTCGTCCAGTATCCTGCCCAACTGCTCAAGAGCTGCTTCCACCTCTGCCTCGCGGATTCTTCAACGTGCTGTTTGAACGAATGGTTTCTACCATAGACGTTTTGCATGGAGGGGACAGCTGACTCGAGGATTGCATCCAGGCAGCGCGGAACGAGTGTGGCGAGCCCCAAGCTGCACCGAAATCCTCACGAGGCGGCCGTCCCACCGCTCAAGTTTTAAAGTCCATGAAGAACATTCCAGGAACCCACAGACTCACAGAACCCTCTGCAGCACCCAGTATCGACACAGTATTCGCAATCCATCCCAAAGTTCGCCACAAGCACCCGATCTCAGCCAGGCCACGTCGGCGGCCCCCAGGGAAGGGCTCCACACCTCGAAGAAAGGGCCGTGGCATGGAAAAGGTCCATCGGATTTTGGGTGTTAGAGCTCTTGTCTTTTTTGCGTGCGTGGTGACTGGGGTGACTGGAGATGGGCTCAGCAATTGCGAGCTCGAAGTGGTGCCCTGTGAGGCCGCTTTGATGCATCCGTGGCACAGCTATCAATGCGACGACGGGCACAATGCTCTTCATGGCTCCGCACCGTGTGCTCCGCGTCACTCCAGCACACTTTAATCTGAGAGCCGATACATTGCACGATACATTGCCTTGTATGCAATATGTTGCATGTGCATGTGTTCGTGTTCAGCAGAACTGAAATCACTCCATCCATGTGCGATGCGAGGAGGACTGCCTTGAGCCTGGGATCAAGTGCTGTATTTCCAAAACAAGACCTGCGGAGCATCAAGTAACACATAATGAAGCAAAGCATTGCAAGCCGTTGTCGGGTCTGGAGCAAACCTAAAGGCTTGAATGTTTGTCGACTCGGTGCAGACATCGTGCATGTATCGTATCTATCCGCCTGTCGTCCCCACTGTTGTACTCTCGTTTATGTCAACGTCAGCTACGTAACCCTTCTCTCTTTCAAGGGCTTCTGTTTCTGCTAGAGATCGGACCCAGCAGCACAGCACGAGTCCTGATGCTCCTTCTGCAGTAGTACATGTATCCTTGGGTAGTGCCGACATCAAAAGCTGGGTTTTCAATCCTACCACTGCTTGCAAGCACTTCTACATGTCAAGCATGGCATGGCCGGAGGGGAGACATTCAGATCCTCAGAACTCGCGATCGGCTCGAGGAAGTGGATTCAAGGATCTCAACACTGCTTCCTGTGCCAAACCCTCCACGAATGCTAAACCCCATGAAACCGATTGGTGCCTATGCATACATATCTACCGGCCCGGCCCATTATTTATTGCAGGCCGTGCTCCGCTCGGAGGCGTGCGCTGCAACCCGGAGTCCGAGTCATAGAGAGCCATCTCGTAGGCCCTGCACAAGATGGGACTCACTGAATCTGGAGGCTGAGCATCTGCCCTCTGACAGCAAGAAGTAGAAAGCAAGAGGCCCTGTGGACTTTGGTGCTTGATCTCTTGCCTCGGTGACGCCTCGTCTTCCTGCAAGCACATCTCACGTGAAGTGCCCCTGAGGTGAAGGATGAAGCAGTTCGTGGTGCCTCGAGGATCACGTGCACCCACACTAGAAGCAGTTGCAGCTGGGGGCCACGGTTCAAGCAATGCGAGCTTGCTGTCCTCCGAAGACGCCAAACTTCTCCAGCCCTGCCGGCACAGGAAAGCATTACATCGACTCTGCCCTGCAGAAAATGAAGGCTGTGGCGGAGAATCTTCCAAAAGATCGTTCGGACGTACGCCATGTAGGCGAATCGTGTTGAGCCGAAGCCGGCTGTGCGAGCACTTTTGTGAGCTAGCCTTCGGATCCTCCCCCGAACCAGCCTCTATGCTCACTCTCCTGTCATCCTTCCTGTCATGTGACTGCGCAAACCTGAGCACAACGCCGTCAATACAATGCCACTTGCAGAACCTACTGCAACCATTCCATGTGGCTTGCAAAGGCACTGCGGCTGCTGCACTCGGGCCCCGCGCTGTTTCCTCAAATGCAATGACAGATCCACATTTTGTTCCTCGGGCGTGCCTGCCAACTGGAACTTAGCAGCACAGGAATTGCGGTGCGTGAAAGTAGTGTGACACGGGCAGCCTTTTGGCGAGGGAGTGATAGGGAGCAACGCTTCGTTCCCGGACACCCTCGTTGATCTCCTGACATCGCAGAGGCTGCAACTCATGCTGCAGACAGCATCTGTATGAATGTGGCTGCAAGCAGCAGCTAGTAACTAGTAAGGTTCAAGACAGTCTCTGGCTGCGGCATGTTCGAGAAGACCCTGCACCTTCGTTTCTGCTCGTCGTTGGCAGATGTCGCAGAACTCACAACTGCCATGCCTCACAGCAAGGAGACAAAACAGCAAAGGCCAGCAAGCCAGAGAAATCACTAAACCCTAAACCCCCAAACCCCTAAACCCCTAAACCCTAAACCCTAAACCCCCAAACCCCTAAACCGCTAAACCCTAAACCCCCAAACCCCCAAGCCCCTAAACCCCTCAACCCCTAAAGCCCTAAACCCTAAACCCTAAGAAGGCTCTACGACTCTGCAGAACCGATCTCGCCTCCGGTGCGGCTGCGGACACCTGGGGACAGCAAAGGGAGCTCCCTGACGTCCCAGGAGACCATGCACCAACCCACACTACACTGGTACTAGTGCTTGCCTTTGCGGTGTTAGGGTCTTGTTGTGGGGTTTGTTTTGGGCTTCTCTGCGGGGTTTTGCCCTAAGGCAGGACACCCTGTCTTCATGGTTGGGCCTCTTTAGGGCAGACGTCGTTTGCAGTAGGTCCTGCTTACCGAACTAAAAGTCTGCCCACAACTTCATGGTTGCAACACGCCCTGCGCACCTAGCAATGCGGTAGCATGGTTGCATGGAAGTTCACCAAGGCTTCACCATGCACTTTTCTAAGAGCTTGAGCCTCGCAGAGCAGGACGGAGCAAGATGCCACAATGAGCTGACTTTCACTCAGCGACAACTGCCTTTCGACTCCGCAGAACTGACATTGGCTCCAGGGCTCTGGTAGGCCCTGGCCATTCGTCCGAGGTGAGCCTGACAAAATCTGACATCAAATTCATGCTATGTGCAGCAGAACTCAAGGCAAGCTCTGCATGTGAAACGCCGGTGTGAGGCAGATGTCTTGTTTAAGAGCCTGCCATTCCCTGTTTGGCATCGCTTGGGGACGGCGTTTGACACAAGCCGGAATCATAAATCAGCGAAAAGTGATAGCCAGCTATGCAGCTCTTCGAGAGGGGCAGTAGCATACGCCGATTGTAACATGCACCAAATTTCAAGCTTCGCTTGCAAAGACATCTCATGCTTTGGAAAGGTGGCCTAGGCAGGCGTGAATGAATGGCCCGAACCCATTTCCGTGCTCGATGCCCTCACGATGCACGCACTTCTGATTTTCTAAGGCCCTTGCGCTCTCGCAAAAAAGGCCCCGAGACCAAGCACGGAGCCGAAGCAGATCCCTCGAGATGCAGAGCACAGTTTGCTGCTTTGGATGCAAGACGTGCGAGAGACTAGTTACACAACAAGCTCTGTGGAGACAGTGGTCCAAGGATTAGATCGGCTGGCACAAACCGCTTGCAAGACGTGCCACAGGCAAAAGGTTGAGTCGAAGAGGAAATCCATGGAATGCAGGTCCAGCGGTCTTCGCCGAAATCCTAGGAATACATGCAGTGCTCACCTTCAACGGTGGTAGCGACACGACGCTGCCCGAAGGAAAGGGGGCCGTCCTGCATCGCATCTGCACACACCCGGTTCGGGGCTGGACTTAGCACTTAAGGGTTTGGGGCTCAGGGTCGAAGCCCCCGGGCCTAGGCTAGGGCCAAAAAATTCAGGTAGACCGTTAGACAGGGCGACAGGCTGCGATGTCCAGATATGATATGCGTGCTCGTTGTTGAAAGACACGGCAAGCATGCACGGCATACAGAAGGCTAGAACGGTTCGTTGCAAAGTCCTGATGTGGCCGTGCTAGTTGTATACTTCACAAGTGAGCTCCAAGAAATTACCACTTGCATTATCGCACCACTTTACATCACTTTTGCGAGTGCTTGCGTGCCAAGTCTGCTGGGCCTGCGCAAAGCTCCACCCAGAATCAACGGTCCCCTTACTGCAGCTCCTTGGGTCAGATCGCTTCTTCTGCGACCGCAATCGGATGTCCCGATCGCCTCCTTCACCACCACGGCTCGATGCTCAGGCGAAGAGACGTCAAGAGCTTCATTTGGCGCCGCCCAAGACAGAATAAGACAGATTTCAGTCCTGGCACCAGCTCGACCGCCTGCAGGGGATGTCGCAATGCGGCCGCAGCAATGGGGGTCTCCTGAAAAGATCCACGGCCATACGATGGATGCAAACCGTTTGCATGAAGGTGTCCTTGCCCTTCGCTGCCACCGCTTCGGTCTTGCCCTTAGCCTCCGCCTGATCGTCCTTGCGCCACCTTGCCGGGCCAGAATGCTTCCCGCCAAAGCGGCTATCACACCTGGCCTCGCATGGTCCTTCCGATCCTCCCGCTGCAGTGCCTGGCTGCGGGAGTCCAGTGCCTGAGTCACGAGTGTTGGACATGATTGCCTCACTGTGGATCTCTGCAGCGATTGTGCTTGCCTCCAGCTGCTGAAGCAAGCTGTCCACGTCTGAGTCGAGACCGCCCTTGGCCTGGCAGGAAGGCTGTCATTTTTGCCCATCATTGATACTTGCGAGACAGTCATAAAATCCCTCTGCCTTCTTGACGGAGCTTTTGTTTTCTTTGGCCACCTCCGCCACTGGAGGCTCGTCCCTGAGAATCGAGATGCTCCAACGATCGAGGTCTAGAAGTATCCCCTGACATCACCACAACTTGTGCTGAATGCTGAACCCAGAGTCTTCGCCAAAGCGTGCAGTCGTGCACCTTGCAGCTCTCAGGACTTCAATGCTCCGAGGTCACGCGGGCTCTGTCAAGAATGCCTCGAAACCCGAGCTGAAACCTCACCGAACTCTCAGTAGGTCGTCCGAACTCCACCCATGAAACGCGCCAGGCTAGCAACGAGCTGCGAATGGTGAGATTGTGCAGAAGACAACAGGCACTCAAAAGGGCTAAAATGGGCTAAACATCCCGTTTACTCGTCGGGCTCAACCCTTTGAAAGATCTTCCTGCAGTTTGCCAGCACGCGCATTTCTCAGAGCACTCTCCCGTATGATTCGAATGATACGTACCGATTCCTGGAAACGGCGTGACACATGCGCACAGGCAGGGGCGCCTCACCGACATTTCAGAACGATTCAGTCTCGCACATCTGGGTATCCCGGGCCTCCTATTGATCGCTCATAGCTTAAGTGATGCACAGTTAGACTCAACCGAGGCGCGCAGCTCCGGGTGCAGGGACGGCGCAGACTGAGAAGAAGCATCTTCTCGCTCTTCAGTGGATGAGGCCATGAGCGGATGAGGCCAATCCACATGGGTGTCTCTGCACTCCAGTTACTTGACATTAGCATCTCTGTGTAGGCTGGGTGCGTCTGCCACTGACTTTAGGGATGCCGACATGATGCTGATGCCATGTGTTGGGCCCGGCATTGCGTGGTCTGTTTGGCACGCGCTCTTGTTGGTTCTGTTGGTGCCCCTGATGCCTCCTTGATGCAAATAGTACGATTGAGACATGAGCTTTCGACTCCTCATTCTCCTCAACTGTTGAGGCTCAACACACACTCCAGACAGTGTCAACGCTGCGGTCATTGTTTCCTTTTGGCCGTCTTAGACGCCTGCTTCGCTCTGTAGTGATATGATTTGATTAACTTGCCCCAGCTGCACCTGGATGGCTTGGCCATGCCAGAGAAACAGCACGAACCCCAGGGGCACGCATAGCAACGTCATAAACAGTTCTGGGCCAGTGACCACTCTTGCTGCGCTCGGACACCTCGTGGACAAGCACTTCTTCAGAGGACACCTCCCTTCTGCAGGCTCAGAAGCGTGAACTCTGGCCCAAAGAGCGAGACATCCATCATGGACTTCGTTGGCTTCAGAGCAGGGAGAAGTGTCGTCGAATAGACTTCTTGACAGCCATGGTGTGTCAAGCAACGCAACGACAACCTTCCTGGCCGATGCTCTGTGACACACCGCACTCAACGCTTGTCGTTAATCCTCGCAGCACCAGCCCGCGAGACCTTCAGGCATACACATCGTGACCACTTTCCATCGAGTGTGACAAGTGTGAGAGCTGAAGCCGGGTCCTCCTGTACTGCTGCTGTGAATTCGTTGCAAGTCGCTGCTTCTGCGCTGCAGCATTGCTGAAGCGTGCAGGTACTGATGCAGGCAAGCCTGGAGCCTCGACTTTCAATCCCACTACGGGTTCTTCCGACCTTCCCAAACGATCTGTGCCAACCCACTGTTGTTGGATTTCCCGAAAGATCCGCAGGTAATGTAGATTAGAAGGAACGAAAAAGAACACGTTGGTCGCAGAAGTGCATGAAAGCTTCACAGTTTCAACAGCCTTAGCTCCGGTGGCCTGTGGACTTCGCAGTGAAGGCTGGCTCTGAGATGCCTCGCAGCATGGGCCGCGAGAGCCCACATGCTAAACTAATGGGGTCCATCAAGGATTTAAGCAACCGTGAGGCTGGCCTGCAGCGAAGTGCTGGCAGCCGTGCTCAAGGAGGCCAAGGAGACGAACTTCGGCTTCGAACTCGGCTGAGACCGGAGAGCAAGCCCGGCCCAGGGCTTTCCACGTGAACGTTTTCAATACCCAAGACCCTGGCAACTCGCGGCCAAAGACGGACTTCACCGGCCGACCAAATTGGCGCCCGCGGTTCCTGCACGTTCGGGCGGTCCACAGACGTGTTAACTAGCGTAGGCGGCAGGAAACCGCCCAGGCCTGAAGGAGGATTCGATGCCGTCCTGATCAAAGTAATGCCTCGGGCCGGCCAGAGGTTGCATCTCGCTAGAAGTAGCTGCTCGCAGCACAAGCTCCACTATTCTCCGAGGAGGCCACCTCAAGATCGGGTTCATCACAGTGTTGTCTTCTGATTCACTGGGCGGCAGGTGAGGAAGCAACGCACACCAAGAGAAACCTTGCTACGCATCCACTGGAAGTCAAAGGGTGTTCGCGTATGGCTCTGGACGTCCATTGTGGCTTGGCTTGGCTGAGTACTGATCAAAGTTTAGCCTGGCCCTGAAGCGAGCCTGCGATTGTGGTCGTAGACCCAGGGAATCTTCTCGTCTCTAGGCATGCTTCGATGGGCCTGGTGCCGGGGCTTTCGGGACAAAAGATGTCTTGGAACACGGCGGTTTCGGAATCCGCGCCGAAATACCGGGGCCTCCAACTATCGAATAACTATTGTAAGGGTATCTCTTTATGTAATCATGTTGCGTGTGTACGTACGCCGGCCTGCCCGCCTGCCTGCGTGCGTGCACGCACGCAAGCACGCACGTATGTGTGTGTGTGTGTACCGTGTATGGTTATAAATGTGTATATATATATATATGTATGTATGTATGTATGTATGTATGTATGTATGTATGTATGTATGTATGTAAGGGCTCAGATTGCCGGTCAGAGGAACCGGAGCTACTGTTTGCCCCAGTGCCCTCGCGGCACGTAGCACCTCCCGCACCGCGTTGCCATCTCCTACGT